CATCCCACAGTTGACATGGTGAACTGTATAGAACCCTTCACCCTAAACCCTAAACCCTAAACCCTTATGCCCAAAACTCTGAAAACCCGCAAACCCCAGAACCATAAACTGCTCCGGCCACCTTATACAACTTTTTACTTCACCCCAAAACCAGACCATAAACCCGGTACCGACGCCTGACTCCAAACAACCCTAGCCCTACCCAAAACTACAAGTTCCACTTATGGGAATCATCGCAATGCCCTAAACCCTATGTAAGCCCTAAACCCCCAGACCTTCCAAAATCCCTCAAATAAAGAAAATACCTTAATTCATATTTGGGATCCTATTATAATTTAAGGTATATTCCTTAATTAAGGGATTTTGGAAGGTCTGGGCCCTAACAGATCGCTCTCTTTTTCCGAGAGCTGACACACCCTGCGGAGTTTTACCGTGAGCTCGGGTAGTCTGGTCTGCTGCCCAGGTTTGGGTGTTTTAAAAGGTCACATGAGTAAGGGCTCTACAAGGGATCTATAGGGCTTGGGGGTTTAGAGATTTGGGGCTGTACTTGGAGGGTCGGGGGACATAGTAAGTAGGTAGTAAGTAGACTTATAAGTACCCTAAAAGGGACCCTAATTGGGGTTATGGTACTTATAAGTCCCTAAAATAACAAGTTACTAAGTCCCCCGACCCTCCAAGTAGGGTTTCAGGCTCAGGAGCTTTCGGGTGTTGGGCTTAGGGCTTTGGGTTTGGGTTTTTGGGGGCCTGGTGGGGCTTCTAGGGGTTGTCGGCTTAAGGCCTTTAGTCGGGGGCGGGCTGGGGTTAGGGGTTTAGGGTTTAGGGTTTTAGGGTTTAGGGTTTAGGGTTTAGGCTGGTAAGACTTAGTGAGAGGATCGAGGATCTGGAAAATTCGGCTTGGGCCACTACTGCAGGCAAACCCGTAAGTAGGCTTGGTGTTGAGGGCTTCATTTTCAAGTGTCCAAAGAGTAAACCGTAAGCAGCGCTGGCAGACGGAGGCCCATCAAAATTCGACGCAACGTCGAGGTGCATTCCAGCCCGAGCACCTTCCCTCAGGGAAGGACTCGTGCTAGCGTGCAGAAGCGGATACTATTCATATCCAGTTGCAAGTGAGAAGTCGGAGGCTGCCAAACACCATCAGCATGGGGCTGCACGCGACTAGAAACTGTTGTTTCAACACACCACAACTCAGGCCCTAATATAGAGGCCTTCATGATCAGAATAGGGTTTCGGGGGGGGTCCTTATTATAGCTATAGTATAATATACCCCAAAGCCCTGTTCCAATTTGTAAGGCCCCTATATTACACCCTGAACTCGAAGCTCTGGTTCGATTCTCGGTTAGTTGTGTCTTAGGATACCATTGCTCCATATCTGCGGAAAACAAATAAACCTTTCATCGAACTGAGCAAACAACATCTTTCAGGAGCTTGTGAAAATGTAAAATAAAAGTGCATTCGGGGCTTCGGGCTTAGATGGGTTTAGGCTTTAAGGTCGAGGATTTAGGACAACTCCTGAAAAAGGATTGATTTCTTTTAATCTGTTTAGGGTGTAGGGCATTCCTCAGTTAGCGGGAGCGCGGGTGTCCCGTAGCCCACCGTGAACCCTTGTGGTTTCGGATTGAGGTTCAATTTTTTGGGTTTGAGAGCTGAGGTTCGGGGTGGGTTGTAATCTGCATCCTCCGACAAGCCCTAAGATCTACATCCAAGGCCCACCTGCAAAAGGATCCTGCAAGAGTCCCAGTGAGCCCCCGTACCCCCGAATTCTGGGTTTAGAGTTTCGGGTTTAAGATGTAGCTTCATGGTTTTGGGCTTTTTGTGGTTTAGGGTCTCGGGTTAGGGTTTAAGGCTCAGGATTTCGAGTTTAAGATCTATCATGTTGAAATCAGTGTTAAGGGCTATTGGGCTCTCTGGGGGCGTACCAGTCTTCCCAGACAGCCCTCCATCCCCAGACAGAGGATCGAAATGGGAAGTCTGCGACCAAGGGACCACGAGCCTGCTTCTGTCATTGAAACGGAATCCGAAAAGCCATGTTTGCGAGGATTGAAGCATCAGTATACGGCTTTGCTCTGTACCTACTTGTCTTGGTTCCGTAACTACGAAATGCGACCCTCTATAAGCCTTCTATTACTACAGAAAGCCTGATGAAACTCTTATGAACGATAACACCTGCATCAAGCCTGAGGAAACATGTATAGAAGGAAGCCTTGCAGTTTGGGGGCAATTCCTTCTTGTCATGTGGACGTTTTAGGGTTCCGTTGTGGGGTGTAGCCCGTTCTTGACGAAAAACCCTAAAAACTGCGGATTAGGGTTTGGAGCTGTTGCCTCGCATGTTTCGATAGAAGCAGACTCGAGCTGCACAGGATTATCCCGAAACCTCCCGGCGGCTCGCAAAGTAGTGGGTGAAGAGTACGTGGTACAGGGGCCTTCATAATGAGGATGGGGCTTGTGAGGTACTGTTTCCGTGTATTTACAAAAAGAGTATAGGGGAAGATGATTCCCAATTTTTCGAACTCACTATGGATTCAGGGATTTGGCTTCAAGCTCCAAGTGCCTGCTCTCGTCAACCCCGAAATCGTACTTGCTCAGAGCTACATTCATAGGCTCAGGTGGCTCGAATATGAACATACGGTCAGTAGCAATACAAACAGACGAAAGCCTACTGCGGCAACAACCGATAGCAGGTACCCGCAGTAGTTGCAATACTAGTCCCAGTCGTGGTCGTCGAAACAGAAGTAATGTAGCGGCGTTAGTAGTTTTAGTCGGGTTCGGGGACACACAGACCCTAACTGAGGCGTAAACTATGAGCCCTACGTCCATTACAGTTTCGCCCTAAGTCCATTACAGATTCGGCGCTACAAAAGCCCAGGCTTCCCCAGTAGCCCCCCTAACAAGAGACCGCGGCAAACCTTGTCCTATTTTTCAATCTCCAGAACACGACATCAAAATAAAAGGGGCATAGCCTATATAGGAGCCTCAATAATTCTAACAAGCTTTGGTGGTATACTATACTATTCTACATGCATAGCAAATCCTCAAGAACGCTCTTGCTAACCCGAAACCCCGAACCCTAAACCCCGAACCCTGAACCCCAAAGTCTTCGCTGAGGGCTCGACAACCGCCACACGGAGCCCAAGCCGGCCCCAGCTTTGCGATCGGCAGAGAACACGTACGCGCAGCTTTTCAGTCGAAGTCTAAGTATAGCTGGGCGACTGGCACCATGCTTACCGGGCCCGCGCCTCCCACGGAGTGGTAAAGGTATGAACCTCAACCCGAGGGCCTTTTTGCTGTCAAATCAAGCCCTTTCGCTAAGGGTTGCACCCCCAACCCTCACCATTTGGAGCGGCCACCAAAAGGACAAGGAGCTCCCCAAACCCTCAGAATTAGGAGGGCCTCCCAAAATCACAATGATGCGACCCCCCCCCAACCCTTCGCGATTTGCCCGGAAAGGACAAGTTTGCACCCCCAACCCTTCGAGATTTGGAGTGGCTCCCAGAAGAACAAGGATAGGACCCCCCCAACCCTTCACGATCCCCAAAGGGACAAGGGCGGCACACCCCCAACTTTCACGAATTGGCAGCTGCTCCCTTCCCTGACATCTGATTTTCTGTTACCAAACTGTGCTCATAAAAATTGCAATCTACACTGGGCTGTCGGCCGATCTCGGGATTCCTTCCCCACATTTCCAGATAGGGCTCGCCAAACTCCCTACAGGACAAGGATAGGACCCACCAAACCTCCACGAAATGGCCTCCCAAAAGAGAAGGTTAGGCCCTCCCAACCCTTCACGATTTGGCGGATTTTACCTGCATTGCTGCCTGTGGCCTCATATCTTCCGCCAGCACAGCTTCACAGGACGCCCATGGTTACTTCCGGCACCCGCCCAAACAGCCTTACAGAAGCACGCATGAGCACCTCACAAAAATCCCACATGCGATGCTTTTTGTCCCCCCACAGCTCCCTCCAGCACAGCTTCACAGAAAGCCCACTACTTCTTCCCCGCCAGGACAGCGTCACAGAAAGCCCACATGCGCTGAGATCTATAGTGTTGTAGTTTGCGCGAACAGCCGCCAGCACAACCTCACAGAAAGCCCACTGCGTCTTTCGACACCCGCCAAAGACAGGATCGGACCAGGACAGCACGTCACAGAAAGCCCACTACCCTTAAAGTCAGACCGGGACGGCCTTACAGAAGGCCAACATGCAGTGAAATCCATCTTTTCGCTTTTGTGACAACCACCGCCAGCACAATCCACAGAAAGCCCACTGCCTTTACCGGCACCCGGCAGAGACGGAGTCACCGAAAGCCCACATGCACTGGCCCCCGCTGGAATGCCTGGAAAACTTTAGAACGAAACCCCAAATGTTTGATCTCAGGGCTGTCTTGGGGTGGGCCTTTTGCTGCGCACAGGTGCGAACGTCATGGGTGTGCATACACCAGCGAGCACCCATGACGTCACCACACCCTAAATCCTAAACCCAGGAGCTAAGCTCCTAGATCCTAGCTTTCCTTGCTCTTCCCCGCCGATGTTCAGCCCCATGTCAGGGGATGACATACTATGGCATAATGTCAGTCATTATTTCGACCCCTAATTATCTTGCATGATTTTAGCCGGGTTGTTTAGGAGTTAAGGTACGCTTGAAAGCTCATGGCTAGTTGCGAGTAAGGCTGGAACAGTAACTTCCTACACTAGCATTAAAAGCAGCTACATGCGTAGTTACCTCGATTATGGCCCTATCTTATAAGCCCTCTCATCCTCTAACTAGTCCGGGCAGGGCTGCGATTCCGCAGGAGGTCAGGAAAGCAAACCAGCCTACACCTATAAGCTGAATGTTCACTTAAGGGCTGCCGGCGGAGACGAATCCGCACCCAACTTTATCACCCGTACACCCTAAACCCTAAACCGGAAACCCTAAAGGCCCGAAACTCACACTGTATATAAACCGCTATGAAACCCTAAACCCTACACCCCAATGAGGTGAGGGTTTGTTGCTCTAGTTGCTCATCACTCCTTGCCCCTCTCGAGCATGTCTTTCGGATCCGGCATCAGGTCGTCCAGCTCCACATCCTTGTGAGCTTCTGGTTCTGGCATGAATGGCTAGAGGACTCAAGGACTCAACCCATAGGGTCCATACACTACCATTATGGAATCAGGTCCCCAAAGCCATAATGAGGATGGTCTTTTGGGACCTAATTCCTTCATGGTGGTGTATATGGACCCTCTGGAATAGGGGTAAAGCTCTGCAGGTGTCCTTGGCAACGGCTGTAGCTTCGGACATGGCCTGCCACAGCCAGAGGTGTTCGCTTGGGATTTGCGATTAGGGTTAAGGGTTTCGGTTTAGGGTTGGTTTGGATTTGCGTTCATGTTTTCAGTTGTGGGTCGCGGGGCTTTGGGCTTGAGGGTCAGGGGTCTGGGGTTTCGGGTTCATAGGTAGGTGGGAACATCATTCGCAATACCCTGGAATGAGTGATTCGGTGGCTCTTGATATATACAACCTCTAAACCCGTATCCTGCATCGCTGATCCTAAGCAACCTGCAGGAATAGCTTATTTCCCCAGTTAGGGTAGATAAATAGGACTTTAAACTCCAATTTAGATACTGAGCTTTAAACCCCAATTTAGAAATTTCCAAACTTTGTTAAGAAGTCCCTTGATCCTCCAAGCATGCACATTCCGACTTTGGACTCAGGCCTGAAGGGCTTTAGGGTTTCGGAGGTGAAGCTTAAGGGTTAGCGGTTTAGGGTTTAGGGTTTAGAGTTTAGGGTTTAGGGTTTAGGGTTTAGGGTTTAGGGTTGGCATTGGGCGTCCCTCAAATTTCCTCCTTGATACAACACCCCATGTTTTCTGAGGTGAGAGGCTTCCTACGACAATGAAACACCCCTCTTAAGGACTTCGTTCTTGGAGCCTCGAACCCTAAACCACCCCGCCCTCTCAAGAAACAGTAAATATATGATGAACGTCAAACAGTTAAAACTCGCCACAAAAAACTGAAGCCATAAAAGTCCCGATATCATCAACCCGAAGTACCTGAACCCTAGTTTACAAACCCCCCCTTTCACAAAAAAACACACTAAGCTTAAACCCCAACGCCCTGAATCTCTCGTCTTCATTGAACTTAAAGTCAGTTCTGGACGGAGTTTGTAGCGGGCCTTGTACGACAGGGTGACAGCTACCGAAACTTCACCACACAAGAAAAAGGCACGCCGGACCGGACGGAGGCCTCCACGCCAGCCGGGTCCACATCTTCGCAAAAGTTCTGCATGATCTGAAGTGGGACCTGGGTTCAGCTCTAGCAGGATTTAGGATACGTTCCTGGTGTAGCACATTATCGAAATATTCAAATGGTGTTCGTAATCGTACTCGTATCTTGAAACTTGCCCCCGAAACCTTCAACATAAAAACCTGAACCTTCTGAGCAGAACCTATCGAAACCCAACCCAATGCTTATTAAAATATAGTAGAATAAAACATAAAAGTAAGAATAGTAGAATAGAGCATAAATAAAAATATAGGTTTTTGACTCAACCTTATCAGTGCCAAGCCCTGAATGCTAAAGTTAATGGGGTTCATGATATCCTCCCACCCCCTCGACTCAAACGAAAAACAACACCCTAGGTTCTGCCCAGTTGAAAATCCGTGGAGCCTTAGGCACGCCAAACAGCTCTGAAACAAGCTCGTATAAAGCCTGATATTTCGAAACCCATATAACTGTCCAGAACAACCTGAGACAAACAACCTGTAACAGAACCCCACTAAATGAAGCAACCCCTGTAAAACCATTTAACAACCCAAAACCCACAATATATCTCTGCTAAAACCATGAAATTCGGAAACCCACATCACTCCCTATACAAATAATCCTAAACCCTGAACCCTAAAACCCTAAAACCTAAACCCCAAAACCCTAAACCCCTACACCCGAAACCCTTTCTTTAGAACCCACCAGGTCTGTCCTCCGAGATGCAAAAGGCACATTCAGCCGCTGCGCCGCCTCCATAAAGGCAATGAGAAACTTCTGCCGAATTTGCCTGGCTTTTTTTAGTTTCGGCTTCAGGGTTTAGGGTTTAGGGTTTTTTTTTTGTTTAGGGTTTAGGGTTTAGGGTTTAGGGGTTTAGGGTTTTAGGGTTTAGGGTTTAGGGTTTAGGGGTTTAGGGGTTTAGGGTTTAGGGTTTAGGGTTTAGGGTTTAGGGTTCAGGGTTCAGGGTTTCGGGATTAGGGTTACCGTGAAGGGCTCCTGTCGGGGTTACTTCTCAGGGTTCTCGCAGGGCTCTAGAAGGCTTACTTCGGTTGATGATATACATCCTGCACTACCTTAAGGACCCTAAACTATGGGAATTATGGTATATTCCTTCTTATGGGTAGTGCAGGATTTATATCATCAACCGTTCTACTGAACTTGCCTGGCTTTGGTGGCTCCCCAAGGTTGCCTTTTAGGGACTTTCAGAGCGCAATGCAGACTATGAGGCTTCCTTTAAGGTACTATGAGGCTTCTATAAGAGCTCTTGTAAGGGATCTATACCTATACTATAAGGGTTCCTACAAAGATTCTGTGAGCGTTGCTCGAAGGGTTTAGGGCTCATTTTGCCGCCAACATTGGAGACTTGAGGCTGAAACGGTTCAGGGGTTTAGGGCTTAGGGGGGGTTTACGGTTTGGTGGTTTCAAGCTTTAGGCTTCTCGGGTCGGGGACTATAGGTAGAGCCTCCCAAGCTCCAAAAACATCAAAGTCCAAAACCTCCAAGCGTCAAAGCCAGCACATGAAGTCCTTAAGCAATACAGCCCTACTGCCCTGAACTTGGCAGTGACAAGCAAAGCACTCTCTCAACCTGCTAGCGCCACCTGTGGGACACACCCACCATCGGGAAAAAGATGATCTCGATGTTGTAGCCGTTGCCTCGCGGATTCTGGAAGGCAATCTGGCTTCAGTGGTTATTGAACTAAGCACGAAGCAATTGAGGGTTATGAGACCATCTATGCAGAGAACAAAACAAGTGCTGAGAAAAGCCGGTAGAAGCTAAAAACCTAAACCCCGTGTCCCTGACCAATCCTAGCCCCAAGCCGTAAGAAGGGTTCAGGGTCTTGGGGCTTAGTAGTCCTCGGGAAATTGGCTCGGGGTCTAGGGTTCCGGGTTCCTGATGCCAAAACATCAGCTCAAAGTTCTCAGGTTGGAAGATGCAGGACTCGGTAAGTACTGCTGATGGTCAAAATCCTGCATGACCCTAAGGACTCTAAACTATGGGAACTATGGTATATTCCTTATAATGGGTCATGCAGGATTTTGTCCATCAACAGTAGCATCCTGCCACAGCGCCACCCCAAAGAACCAGTCGAAGCTCTGTAGAACATGCTCGACCCCTACTTGGAGGGTCGGGGGACTTAGTAACTGGTTGTTTAGGGACTTATAAGTACCATAACCCCAATTAGGGCCCCTTTTAGGGTACTTATAAGTCTACTTACTACCTACTTACTAAGTCCCCCGACCCTCCAAGTACATAAACGCTTGAGGCTGCGTAGGCATGAAGACTCAAGGGACAGGGTTTGTTGCTTTGGGTGCAGCATTCACCGCCGCTAATAGTTCAACTGTGACAGCAAATCATAAACCCGCATTATGTTCCCTAAACCTTGCAGAAATCCTATACCCTAGACCTTAGATCCTATACATGAAAGGGGAAGAGAGCCCTAAGACGGAAATCTCTGAGCCAAAAACCCTACAAGCCAAGGCCTGTGAAGCCCTAGGAACCTGAAGAAAACACAAAAGCAGCCGCATGCACCAGAATCCCACAATTTACGATTTGTTGGGGACTCCTTTTCTGCGATGCCCGCTCAAAATTTAGTGTGTAGGACTTCGGGTTTCGGGTCTTTCAGCCCCTCAAAAAAACCATAAACCCAACAAAACTCCTGCAAACAGTTTTATCAAGCCGTATATAGCCTTGTATACAATGCAAAATCACGTGAGACCCTGCATGCCCTATATCCCCCACCCTGTCTGCTGTTGACGCCCAAGTTGCTGGTCGACGTTATGTGGCACTTCCTCAGTCGTTTAGTCGTCTGGAAGTTGCATCCGTGCTCCAGAAAACTGAAAACAATGCAGTCGTTCAAAAAGCACATTAGATCATAAAGCGAGTATAACTTGAAGTCTTTTGTCGCATTATGTAAGACTATGTAAGAGTTTTGGAGCCTCTGCCGGTGGGGTTCCGAAAGGTTCCCAAGGACTTTAATGAATGGCCCTATGCGAGGTTTAAGGCTTTCAAGAAGTAGCTTGCGGCATCGGGGTTGCAGGCTCTCAGGAAGGAGCTCGACGGCCCTAAGCCGAATTTCGTAAGGTGTTCGACAGGTTATGTCAGACATGACTAACAACCTAAATTCTAACCCCGCGGCCGAGATTCTGATAGTGGTTTCGAACCAAAACAGCCATTCACCAAAAGAAAAATGCTTGAAGGGCCGAGATTCTGATAGTTGTCCTGCTGGATGTCGGGCGAGCCTTTGATCCAGTTCTTGCCAAACTCCTCTCCAGGGCTTAGTCTTGTAGCAGTGAGCTGAAAGGCTAGGTCATGCCATGGCCAAATTGCTTGCCAGACCGCGCTGTGTACTGCACCATACCACACCATAGCATGATTCTGTGCATGTGTGTGTGTGTGCGCATGAAACCCATGCATCCATGCCTGAGTTGCATGCAGATGCATGCAGCAGGCTCTTAAAATCTGAAGCTGAATTTCACCACTCACTCCCCCTGAACCCGAAGCCCTTAAACCCCCAAAGTTTCCAATGCAGCCTAGCTCGTAATTCGTACATCCAAGCCTTCTGGCTAAGGATCTTGCGTCGCTCGCGCTCGGATTGGCCGCGGACTGCTTGCACAAAATCCTATCCCCCTATTAAGCACTGCTTGAAAAATCATAGGATTTAGAAAGTAAGGTTATAAGTGCCTTAACTGGGGGTGAGAAGCTAGTCATAAGCGCAGCTGCTCGGTCCCATGATCCTTCAAGTACCCCTAGACCCTCCTCTTCTGCATAATAACCCATATAGGGCCCTTAAAGGAACCCTTCAAGGAACCCTAATTACTAAGCCCCATGATCAAGCAACCCTACCATAGGGCCCTAATAATCAGAACAGTGGTAGTTATTAAGGCCCCTATACTAAACCCGTGTAACAGCCCTTATAGTACGTACCCCTTAAAGACCCCTATCTCTAAACCCTAAACCCAGAGCAACCCGCCTGGAGCCTCTGGACCTTCTTCAGCGGGCTCCGAGTGCTGATCCCAATGTTCAGCAAGACCGTCTTCGTGGGCCTTGGGGTTTAGGGGCTTAGGGCTCAGGGGTTTAAGGGCTTTAGGGGTTTAGGGGTTTGGGGGTTTAGGGTTTTAGGGTTCAGCAAGACTGTCTTGGTGGGCCTGAAGGGATCGGATCGGGCTTTAAGACTGTAATGGTTATTGAAGGTTTAAGCTTTAGGGTTTGAGGATTATTTTTTTTTAAGTGCAATGGCGTCGAGGATTAGGGATTCAAGGTTTAGGGTTTAGGGTTCAAGCTTAACAGTCTGCGTGGGCCTTGAGTGCCAGTGCTAGGGGCTTAGGGATCAGGGTTGAGATCAGGGTTGAGGGTTTAGGGGTTCAGGGCTTCTGGTTTAAGAGTTCTTAGGCCTTAACGTTCAGAGTTCAGGATATGGCACCGGGTTTAGGTCAGGCTAGAATATTCGTCTAAAACTATGTCAACATGCTGGACGTCTCATGGGGTGCTCGCTCACACGAGGGGCTGTTGGCGGTTTAGCATGCTTGCGAACATCCTGAGATTCCGGAAAATACTGCCTGATGACCCCCTAAAGCCCTAAACACTAAGTTGCAGTTCCCAAACCCCGACGAACCCTTGAAAACCTCAGCAAAAAGAACCCATAACATCGAAACCCTGCAAACTCGCCGGAACCCCCGCCTTCGTGTCCAGTTCTGGATGATCAGCTCATTGAAGGCCTTGTGGCTGACCCAGACCTGAAGGATTGTGTATATAGTTGCCTTCATCATCAGAATAGGTTTCTACCGGGTTCATTATACGTGCATCAGAAGGGCTTACTAAGGATTTTTCCCAGACCTTCCATATGCACTACCATTATGGCCTCATGGAATTAGGTCCCAAAAGACCATCCCTATTATGGTTTAATAATAATCATGTAGGAACCCGAATAAGAAACCTTGGGCCTTTATTAGGCTTCCTTTTATGGATGCTACTATTCTTGGGGATATAGGCCCAGGGTTTCTTAATGAGGTTCCTACATTAGAGTATATATGGACCCTCTTTGTTTGTAGCGGCCTCAAGCTCAGAGTCGCTGGGGGCACTATAGTCTTTATTATGCACTTTATATCATAACATATCATGTCAACATATGTTACATTATAGTGTAGTAGAGTACGGCATTGCTATAATTTGGTGTTGTAAGCCTTCTTTACAAGTCTGTCGGATGGAAAGTTCCTGCTTGTATGTTCGTGGCGGATTTTCCAAGGTCAAGCCTGCTTAAATGGCCTTACACTCTGACAGGACATGCTTGAGTGATTCACAACTTAGGATCACCCCCACGTGCAGCACAGGGTGGAGGTGCAGAAAGTTTGTAACCGTGAGGACTCACCTTACCTTTGGTTAGTAGGGAATGGAAGAATGGTAGCAATAGTAGTTATAGTTGTACCGCATTCCTCCATTCCCTTGTAACCAGAGGTAAGTCACGACGTACGCTGTGCAAGGGGGATAAGAGGTAAAGTGAGGCCATCCCAGGGTTTATGGGCTCGAAGTTCGACATTTCGGGCTACTTAGAGTCTAGGAGTAGGGGTTTACGGTTTCGTGATTTCGGGCTCGATCGTTTGGAGCCTGGGGTTTTGTGTTGGGGGTTTCGAAAGTTTAGTGGGCTGCGGTTTCTGGACACTGCACCGTCAACCCCAAAACACAGCTCGTATGATAAAGAGGGCCTCAATAGTTGGAACAGGGTTTTGGAGGTATACTATAGTATATGACAAGGACATCTGTAGCACAACAGCAGTAATTTGGTAAGCTTCTAGATTTGCGCATAAAGTTCTGAAACCCTAAACAAACCCCTGATTTAGAGCTCTGTAGCAACCTGGCAGGGGCCCTGTAAGAGCCCCACCTGTTTCATCTCGAAGTTGCGGATCACCACGTACATCATGGTGATATTCTCCTTTGGGAATTTAGGGTTTAGGTTTTTTTGTTGAAGGCCCTTTCCCACCTGCTACAGTCGGAGGGTTTTGGGTTTAGGGTTTCGGGTTTAGGGTTTCGGGTTTAAGGTGTTGGAGTGATCTGGGGTTGGGGGGTATAAGGGTCTCTGGTGATATTCTGTTTCGGGAGTTTGCATTGCAAAGGACTGTACAGGTTCTTCTTTAAGATGTCTCGGCTCCTCTCCTGCCAGCCAGAACAAGGAATCTCGGGTTTAGGGTGTAGGGTTGAGGTGGGAGTTGCCGAAAATTAGGGGTACCTTACTTTGGGGTCGGTCTCGGGCGTTTTTGGGCTGACGGATTGGATCAACACGTTCCTCGGAGGTTTCCGGTTGACGGTGCGGCTAAAACAGGGGCTTCCGTCTTGCTTAGGAATAGTAGTATTAGTAGTAGAAGTAGTAGTAGAAGTAGTAGTAGTAGTAGTAGTAGTAGTAGTAGTAGTAGTAGCAGCAGCACTACTAGTCGCCGTCGTAGTTGTACTATGGCAACTTGAATAAAGCTCCTTAGCAAGAACCGGCCAGTTTAGGGTTGAGCGATTACCGGGTTGGAGAGGAAGAGTGGTCCTCTCCCCTGCGTAGCTGAGCGTCGTAGGGTGTAAAGTCTAAAGGCTGACGGCTGAGGATTTAGAGTTTACCTGGACCCCAAACGTATGCAGAATAACAGCCTTTTTATAGGTATTGGGCCATTATTTTATCTACCTTTGGGGGGTCTAGGTAGGGCTTCGATTTTTAGGCTTCGGGTTTAGGGGGTAGGATCGAGACTGTAAAGCTTTAAATAAATGCTACCGATTAGGATGCAAGCTTGGGGTTTAGTTTAGGGGTAAAGGCGGTTATGGGCTATTAGGGATGTTGGGTTTATTTGACATGACACTGTCATCGTTGGGCTTAAAGACATATGGGACTTTCCGAAAATAGGGGACCCTAATATGGCGCCATAAATAGTAGTAGGATCCTTATTGCAAGGACCCCAAAATAAGGTACCCCTAATTTTCGGAAACTCCTTATAGAGACCTTTAAAGAAACCCTTATAGTACCCTTATAGTAACCCTCTAAAGGAACCCTAAGGTACCCCTATTTTCGGATTCGGGGACGCTGCCAAGTGGCCACAAAGCCCACCAGGGCATTCGTCATCCCGATGGCACCGTTGTGATTCAGTGTGACGAGATCTCCCACGTAAAACGGCCTTTCCGACCGTCGGGTTAGGCAGTTAGGTTTTGGGCTTTATGAGCTTGCTTTTCCCACCAGGAATGCTTTAACAAATCAACCCTGAGCAAACAAAGCAGTGAGATCCCCAAACCCCAAAACGCAAAAACCCGAAACTCCAAACCCGTTAACCCTGTACCCTAGGATCCAAACCCAAAGCCCCAAACCCTAAACTCTGAACCCTCGACCCTAAAACCCCCTAATCCCTTCTTAAAGGGTAATGGGACTTTGTAAATAGGGCTATAAGCAAGGTAGCTATACTTGCAACTACTTGCAACCCCAATTACGGTACATATAGCCGATATAGCCCTACTTGCCAAGTTCTACGATCCCTAGAACCCTAAACCTTATAGGTCCCTTCAAGGAGCTTTTCAAGCAACCCCTGTGCGATACTAAGTCCCATGACCCTCCAAGTACACCCCGATACTAGTCCCTTACAGTACGCCCTGATACTATTCCTTAGAAGGGGCCCCCACCCTGTAATAGTGGTATAATAGGAATATCATAGGGTCCTAGTATAATCCTTATAGTCACTATTACAGGGTGGGGGCCCCTTCTAAACTATTCCCTTCAAGTCATCGCTATAGTACACCCCTATACCGATCCCGTATAGTAGCCCCCTACTTAGCCGCCCTTGGAGCCAAAATAGAAAAACCCTTAGAACAAAAATAGAAAAACCTTAGAACAAAAATTAAAAACACAATAGTCTTGCTAATCCCTATTAAGCTTTACTTTAATAAGACTAAAACATAATTCCCAAGAGCAGGAAGTTTAAGGATTTGCAGGCAGTCCGGGAAGCTTGTAGAGCCCTAAACCCTAAACTTGACCAATCCCTTCTACTAACCCTTCCCCAAACCATCCCTAACCCCTAAACCCCTTACTGTAACCCCCTAAGGATTCCCTAAACCCTAAACCCTAAAACCCTTATCCCAAAGGGAGGAGGGACCCTTAATGGGGACCCCTACCCTATAGTAGGGTATTTTTTGGGTATGTATTAATAGCTATATTACGGGTATATACCTAGGGGTCCTTACTAAGGGTCCCTCCGTTTACCCTTGGATTATCGTAGCCCTTTAAGGATTCGCAGCCCGGGAGGCTTGTAGAGCGACATGCGAAGGAGGGAAATGGTGCTGGGCCCGAGCCTCGGAAGTGCAGGAACAAGCGGGTTTAGGGATCCTCAGGGTTTGGGCTCCATGGGGTTTAGGGGTTTAGGGTTTAGGGGGTTTAGGGTTTAGGGTTTAGGGGTTTAGGGGTTTAGGGATCCTCAGGGTTTTGGGCTCCATGCTTGGAGGGTCGGGGGACTTAGTAGGTAGGTAGTAAGTAGACTTATAAGTACCCTAAAAGGGACCCTAATTGGGGTTATGGTACTTATAAGTCCCTAAAATAACCCAGTTACTAAGTCCCCCGACCCTCCAAGTGGGGTTTAAAGGGAACTCCAGAAAGTTGGAATATGGTTTCAGGGTAGGGTACCCTATAATTTACCTAGAAGGGGTTACGATAATGATATTCCAACTTTCTGGCTTCTACTGTAGGGGTTTAGGGGTTTAGGGTTCAGGGTGAAGGATTTGTATAGTAATGTGGGAACCTGATTAAGAGGGAAATTTTGCGGGGCCCGAGCCTCGGTAAAAGGGACCCGGAAAGCTGCCGTTGACTGTACCCCTTTACGGGTTCCTTTAAAGGGTTTTCTGTAAGGGTTCCTTTAAGGGTTCCTTTAAGGGTTGCTTTAAGGGTTTTCTGTACCTGGACCCCAAAAGTATGTAGAATTATAGCCTTTTTAAAGGTTTTGGGCCATTATTTTACCTACTGTTGGTGGTGTAGGCAGGGGGCCTTCATAACTAGAATAAGGTTTGGGGTATACTATACTGTAATCATCATAGGGAACCCCGAGAATAGCATAGGTAATTACACCCAAAATAGTATAGGTAATTATTTAAGCCCCTGTAGTACGGGAAGTTTGGGGAGGGGGGTTAAGGAAGTTTAGGTTTTTTTGGATTTAAAAGGTTATGGTTCAGGCAATGTGGGTCAGGGAGGGTTGTGGGAGGTGGGGATGGCGGCTGGTGAGAGGGGAGGGCGGGGGGGGGGGGGGGAATAATGTAGAAACCTGATTAAGAAACCTTGGGCCTTTATAAAAGGGCTCCTTATATAAACCCTACTGTTTGGGGTTATAGGCCCAGGGTGTCGTAATCTGGTTCCTACTTGGAGGGTCGGGGGACTTAGTAAGTAGGTAGTAAGTAGACTTATAAGTACCCTAAAAGGGACCCTAATTGGGGTTATGGTACTTATAAGTCCCTAAAATAACCCAGTTACTAAGTCCCCCGACCCTCCAAGTGGGGTTTAAAGGGAACTCCAGAAAGTTGGAATATGGTTTCAGGGTAGGGTACCCTATAATTTACCTTGAAGGGGTTACGATAATGATATTCCAACTAAGTACATTAAGTGGTTAGTTTCGGCTTTAGGGTTCAAGGCTGAAGTTTCGGCTTCCGCGTGTGGTAGTGCTCAAGGACTAGAGCGCGATGGCTCTCAAGACACAGTTTCCCTAAGGATCCAAGTAATCCTTATGTGCGGGTTTTTGGTACCCAGAATGAGCCAAAGTCCTATAATAGGCAGTACTCGGACCCTTAATGTTTGTTTTTAAGGACTTTCGAATTATGATGAAAGCAGAATTGCAGGATTAAGGCTGCGGAGAGAAAGGTCGAACGACCATCTAGACCTTCTTATTCTGAGTTGAGGATGAAGCCCAAATTCGAAGAGCCCTAAGAATACCAGGATATACATGAAACCATGGAGCCCAAAACCCTACACCCTCAAACAAAACCCCTTCCCTCAACCCTAAGCTCCCCATACCCTATACACCCCTAATCCCTCAACCCTAACTTCCATAAATTAGAAGCTGCCCGCACCCTATAATAGTGACTATAAGGATTATATTCGGGCCCTAGTATACTCCTGATATACCACTGTCACAGGGTGAAAACCCCTTCTAATCCATAAACCCTAAACACCAACCCCCTCAACCCCCAACCCCGGGAGCACCCCAAAACAAATTTCCCCGAGCCGCTCCAACATGAAGCCTCCCGAAGCAGCTCCAGAGAGTAACAAACCTCAAAGGCACGGGCTCTGAGGGTTTTAGGGACCTTAGGGACCTTAGAGCTTAAGGGGTTTTGGGGTGTTTAGGGGGCTTAGGGGGTTTAGGAGTTTGGGGTTAAGGGTTCAGGGCATATTCTTCAAAACAATTTTGGAGTCTCTGGGAGTGCTCGAGGAGGTTCTACAGGATTTCTGTAAGGTTTAAGGTTGAAGGTTTACCTGACAAGATCATATTCAGGAACCCTAAAAACGTAGGTTCTTTCGGGTCCAGGTAGGGTAAACCTGATTGAAGGGGATTTTAAATCATAGGGACCCGTAGTAAGGGGGGGAGAGAACTGTACTTCCTGAAATAGGCTTTATTAGGCCCTTCTTATAAGCGCAATAAGGCCCCCTACCCCCGCCCCCCTCCCCCACCCGTTCAGGGGTCCCTACAAGGACTACAACGATACTATAACTAAGAATGTAGGAACCTGGTCAAGAAACCTTGGGCCCTTATTAGGGTTCCTTATATGAACCCTACTATTCTGGGGTTTTAGGCCCAGGATTTCTCAATCAGGTTCCTACATTATACCATTTTCGTCTCCGATGGAGTCGCTGTTTAGAACATCTCATGACGCTTTGTGGGGTTGTGAGGGCTACTTATAGGGTTAAGAGTTTAGGGTTCAGGGTTTAGGATTCAGGGTTTAGGGTTCAGAGCTTAGGGTTGGGGTTTAGGGCTCGAGGCTTCATGCTTGGAGGCGTTGTAGATTCTCACAGCAGGCACACCATGGAACGTGAAACACCAAAAACCCCTCAAACTCGAAATCGGCAACACCATTATGATCCGTTATGGGTACCTCTACACCACTCTATGTACCTCAACCCCATCATGGGCTAAGGTCTACCTAGACCCCACAAAAGTTGGTAAAATAATGAAACAAAGCCTATACAAGGCTATGATTCTACATACTTTTGGGGTCCAGGTAGGGTGCAGAAAAACGAACCCTTGCAATCTGGGAACTGCCCAGAACAAAGCGATTGATGGTGTCCGCATCGATCTGCGCGAAGTACGCCTTGGCTACTTAAAGGATCACGGGACTTAGTAAGGGTTCTTAAAGGAGCGATCTGTAGGGTTCCTTAAAGGGATGTATGGGGTTTAGGGTTTAGGGCCTACTTAAAGGACCATGGGACTTAGTAACTAGGCTTATAATTAGGGTAACTATACTTGTATCTACTTATAACCCCAAGTAAGGTACTTATAACCTTACCTCTCTTCTCCAATAACCAGGCCCAAACCAAGTTCAAACTTTTTAAGCTAGACCAAATATATGAAGCCAAAAAGTTTAAAGTTCTCCAATCGGCTAAGTAAGTTACTTACTAAGTCCCATGATCCTCCAATTACGGCGCCCGGTGATTACCAGGAGCAATGGGCCTCTGCAAGCAAGGTCCGTCGGGTAGAGGGGTTTAGGGCTTCGGGTTTAGGGTTTAATTAAGGGTTTAGCGTATATAGAGTCACCTAGTCAGCCAACCTAGTAGTTAAGTTTGGCAAGCCCCAAGCCCTAGCCCTAGCCTCCAAGACTTGAACCCCAACGCGCTGTAGCCCCCGTGTTCGAAGCCCTGACAAAAGCTGCCGAGGAATGGCCATGACGATCATCGCGCCCAAGATTTTACCTTGGAGGTGGCAGCCTACCTATAGTCTCCATTGTAGTTCCTTTTCTTGGTTCACCAAACCATAAAACTGGTTAACCAAAAAAGGAACTACAATGGAGACTCTAGGTAGTATGAGGGTCTAGATAATTCGGATTTTGGGGGAAAAGGGGCCTAAGCAATGGCTTTACGGGTAGCCAAAAAGGCTGATGCAGGGGTGTAGTATGGGGGGATTCGCGCAACAGGGTCTGGGGTATAGTGAACTAGGGTACTGGGCTTATGGTCAAGGATTTAGGTCTTGGGGCACTGGGTTGCCTTGGGCGTGGGGTGTGCGTAGAGTTTAGGCAACTGAGAGGTTTAGACCCTTATATCAACAGATTTAGATATAAATGTTCCAAGAGGCTTTTGTAGGTCATAAGAGCCAAGATTATCTCCTGCAGGTTGTGCTGTATACTTTCCCATGATTATACAAACCACATGTTTCCAGACAGCGGGATCCTTATTGCAAGGGCGCTCGAGAAAAAAAGCGTATCCCCATCAAACCCTAAGCATTCAAACCCTAAACCCGAAACCCTAAACCCTAACCTAGAGGCTCCAGATACAGTACCATTTTGGAATTAGGCCCCTAAAACCCTGATAAGGATAGTCTTGTGGGGCCTGATTCAATAATGGTACTATATGTGGGGCCTCTGGGTACTGGGTGTCGGGCCCACGAGGTAGTAGATGGACCAGATGTAATGGAGCACCTGACTTCTTAAGGGATCATGGGACTTAGTAAGTAAGGTTAGAAGTACCTTAATTCGGGCTATAAATACTTATAAGTATAGTTACCCTAATTATAACACTATAGTTACTAAGTCCCATGATCCTTTAAGCAGGCGAAGTCTCAGAAAGGATCCCGCATGTCAGGGGCTTTTCAAGTTCTTGCAAAAGGGGCCTTAACAACTAGAATAGGATGCCTTCAAGGACTACTCCAATAAGGCAAGGGTTACTTTCGGCCCTGCAAAGACACACGAAGCCTCTGTTCTTGGGGTTACCTTTAGAGATTTATCCTGGAACACTTGAGGCTATAGGATGTAGTGGCTTTAGTTCAAGGATGTTCGGTTGATGGCGGGATGTTGGCATGCAGCTTGTGTGACTAAGGGTCCGAATTTTTGGTATCAGTATCCCCTTAAGCTCCCTACATAATGTGATACTCCCCATTTGCGACTACAAGTGTCGAACTTGGGGTAACGCTGCTTCTTGCCCACTTGATCAATCCCCTTCTCCTGCAAGTTTGCCTGCACTCAGCCTCCGAGAACAAATCCAACCTGTAAACTGCAAGCCTAGATTCGCCCACTTAAACCCCCCCAAAAAAATAGATTCCCATATGCCGCGAAAGAACCATCAAAGGAATCCTTACAGGAACTCTTCAAGAAACCCAGGGCGCTGGTCCTTCACCCCACCTCGAACACCAAATCCAGATAATATAGGGGCCTTAATGGGCCCAGTATACTACAGCTCTAAAAAGGAACCCTCAAATAGTATCGGCAATTATTTCATTAAGCCCTACAGCACTTCGTTCAGGTTTGTTGGGTTTACGGCGTTGGGGCTCAGGGTTCAGGGCTGACTAGGGTTTAGGGTGTCTTAACGTTCCGGGCCTTCGCCGGAACCGTGTGCGTGTGCGCAAAGCTGTACCTCAGCTGAAGAGGCTGGGAGGCAAGAGTTGTCAATCCTCCTGGGGTTTACTTAGGATCATGGGACTTAGTAACTAGGGTTATAATTAGGGTAACTAGGCTTATAACCCCAATTAAGGTACTTATAACCTTACTTACTAAGCCCCATGATCCTCCAAGTAGGGTTTAGGGCGAGGCTTCGAAAGTCTTGTGCTGGCAAACCGTAGCCTCTAAAGAGCGAAGATGAAGGAAAAACCCAACGACCCTATACCTGCTCACGATCTCTACACACTACACGAACGAACCTCCAGACTATGCATGCATAACTTAGTTGCCAGGTTCATAAGCCCCAAAAAGTGTACACTTTTAGTTTTATAGTGGGTGATATTATCCCAATAAAGTGTAAAGTGTATCCACTCAGCTACTAAGATAGAAGCCATCTGTTCAAGCTGTTGGACCTTAGGGTCCGATTTTCCCAATCGGTCTGTAGGATAGCGGATGGGGGGTCTTTAGAGTGTACTATAAGGTTCTATAGTGGGTCCCCTTAAAGGGTACTATAGGTTTTTTTGAGTAGGGTTTAGGAGTCTAGGGTTTTAGGGTTTAGGGCGTGGGTTGCGGATATACTGCGGCTGGCTCGGAGTTTGGAACTAAGGACAGGGGTTCGGGTTCAGGCGTCTTGGGGGCCCTAAACCCTTAACCCCTAAACCCTAAACCCCTAAACCCTAAACCCCTAAACTCTAAACCCCTAAACACTAAACCCTAAACCTGGTCGTGGCCCAGGCACACGATGTCGCGGTCCTTCTTGTGGGTCCGCGTGTTCTTCGTGACCTGGGAGCAAAGCCGGGAGAAGGACCAAGCTCTATGACCCAAACTCTGCTGCCACATCCTAAACCCTGAAGTGTAAACCCTAAACTCTGCATGAGGAGCATAAAACATGGGAGTTTCCGAAAGTAGGGGACCCTAATATAGCACCCTAAATAGTAGGATCTTTATTATAAGGAGCCCCAAATAAGGTACCCCTAATTTTCGGAAACTCCCACATACTTCCAAGATGATGCCCGAATGCTGGCCTGGGGTTTCTTGTTTGGAGATCAGGGCTTGGGTTTGAGGTTGAGTTATAGGATCCTTAAGGGAGGGTGGTTCAAGGGGGGAGGGTATAAGGAATCCTTAGGGGACTGTAAGGGAACCTTAGGGAGTACTAGGGAGAATTAGGGATCACTAGGCTATATACCCCCCTTGGACCCCCCTCCCTTCAGGTTACTACAATTGAGGGCCGCTTTAACAACTGTATGGTGCAAGACTTCTCCCAAGGCGAAGGCTGTTTGGAGCTGTAAAATTAGGAGAACCCTAAACCCTAAACCCTAAACCCCTAAACCCTAAACCCCTAACCCCTAAACCCCTAAACACCTAAACCCTAACCCCTAAACCCTAAACCCTAAACCTAGGGCTCCAGTTGCCAAAATAATCGGCTCCCTGGGCTGAATTTTTTGTGGTTAGTAACCTACTATTCAGGTAACTGGAGCCCTAGGGATTAGGGTTTAGGGTTTAGGGTTTAGGGTTTAGCCCCTATACAGGGGCCTTAATAGGCAGAACAGTTCAAAATGCCAATCTAATGCCGAATGCGGCATCTGACTGGCGTTGACTTCACCCCGATGCGGGCGGTCGTTCTGGCCCTCATATGGGTAGTTGTCAAAATTATGGTCCAATTTTGGGTGTCCTAGATACTAGGTGCCGATATTTTTTTTAGGGACCCAAAGGGGGACCCCAATTTTGACAACCACCCTTTTGTAAGGTTGAAGGTCTCGGATGTAGGAATTGGGGATTACAGAGTTTCGGGTTTAGGAATTAGGGTTTAGGGTTCGGAAATGATGGGTACTAAACCTAAGACTTGAAGTGTCGGCTTGAAAATGTAGCAAAGCCAAGTCACAATGTCTTGCATCTTTTGGACGCACCTGCTCTGGTTGATGATTTCCTGCGCAAGGAATGCCCGATCTCTCGCAGGAAACGGCATGTGTTGGATGTGTCCAATATGGGGGCTCACTAAACAGAATAAGAGTATGGGGTCTACTATAGTTTGCTTATGATAAGGAACCCTAAGAATACTATTGGTGATTAGTCCGACCCCTATAGTTATTCCTAAACCCCAAACCCTAAACTGTTAGACCCTAGAACACCCATGGATCCCTTGTAGAACCCTGCACGGAGCCCTGTAAGGAGCCCTTTCAGGGTACTACTCAGGAACCTAGTTTTGGGTGCCACACTAGCCTGTCCCCTATTATAGGTGTGGGTGCTCACTCAAACCCTAACACTGAGCCGTCTACTCATTCAGCGCTGTCCGCCGTGCAGCATGCTATGAGCGCGGCTTGGGCAAGCTACACACCCTCCTAAGCCTTAAACCCCTAAAGCCCTAAAGCCTAAACCCTGAACCCCTAAACCCCAAACCCCAGTCCTGGTCCCTAAACCCAAAGGATCCCTGAAGAAACCCTTACTTGTGGATCCCTTCAAAGGAATCTCTAAAGATCCCCTTAAAAGCCCCGAGACCAGAAAAGATCCCTGAAAGAACCCTTACCTATGGGGATCACTTCAAAGCAATCCCAATAGATCCCCTTAAAACCCCTAGTCCTGGTCCATTGATCACTCAAACCCTAAACCCTAAACCCCTAAACCCTAAACCCCTAAGCCCTAACCCCCTAAGCCCTAAACCCTATGCCCCGAAACCCCTAAACTCTGAACCCTGAACCCCGTAAACCCCAAACCCTGGTCCTGGTCCCTAAACCCAAAAGATCCCTGAAAGAACCCTTACCTATGGATCCCTTCAAAGGAATCTCGACAGATCCCCTCAAAAACCGTTAGTCCTGGTCCATGATCCCAAAAGATCCCTGAAGGAACCCTTACTTATGGGGATCCCTTCAAAGGAATCCCTATAGATCCCCTTAAAAACCCCTAGTCCTGGTCCATGATCCCAAAAGATCCTTGAAAGAACCCTTACTTATGGGGATCCCTTCAAAGGAATCCCTATACGTCCCCTTAAAACCCCTAGTCCTGGTCCATGATCACCCTAAACCCCTACACCCAAACCCCCTAAGCACTAAACCCTTAAACCCTGAACCCTACACCCCTAAACCCCAGACCCTAGTCCTGGTCCATGATCATGTTCTGCACGTTCTCATCGATCCTGGGTTTTTTTCTTGGCTTTAAGCTCGACCCTAGGAAAAACCTGCAACTTTTTTGGGGTTCCTTACGAATCCCTTGTCAGATTCGGGTTCAGGGTTTAAGGTTCAGGGTTTAGTGTTTAGGGCTTAGGGTTTTTTTTACACATGTTAGACCCAACCCTCCCACTGAGTCTCCTCTGGCGTGAGGCATGCGGTGGGCTTAGGGTTTAGGGTTTAGGGCTTAGGGGCTAGTTTAAGGATTAGGGTTCGGATGTTTAGGGTTTAGGGATTATCTTAGGGGCCGAATACCCTAGCCAAAAAGTTAAAGGTTACCTAATTCGGTACCTACCAGGCTTGAAAGGGCTCTTATAAGTTGGCATCTTTACGGGATACTAAAACGCGAGGGTTAATAGGGTTTCAGTTTAGGGTTTAGGGTTGAGAGTTTGGGGCTTTAGGGTGAAAGCTGAGCCACTTATAAGCAGAAGACATGGATGTGCAAACTCCACGTTAAGCTCATTCAAGAGCGCCTGCATCAGCCCACGGTCCGAGCCACTGTGCAATGTCGTATCCGCCCCCAAAGTGGGTGGCACCGACGGAAATTGGTCGCCTCTATGCTCTCGATGTGCTGAGGCCCATGAGACCGATACCAGCAGAAAGCCGTCTCGTAATGCAGCAGCAGCGTCCGTGCCTCCTTGTTTCTGTAGAATGGTTTGATGGTAGTGCGACCCGATTCCCGAAACAACATGAAAACCCCGTTTAAAAAAAAATGAAAACCCCGAAACGACATGACAACCCCGAAACGAGCTTAGCGTTCCTTCGGAACCCCTTATCAGAGTCAGGTTTAGGCGCCGTTTTGGACTAAACCTAACAGTAACCTACGAATGAAAAGGGTGCCCTTTTTTGTTTGAAGGGGGTTATAAGGAACCTAAATCTTAAAAACAGGGGGGAATCAGGGCCTACTCTGGGTCCGAGTGGATTTTGGGAAGGTTCTGCACTTGGGCTTTGATGCTTCAGCCACGACCCTGAACACTTTGAGCTAACGTAGGAACCTCATTAAGAAACCTCGGGCCTTTATTAGGGTTCCTTATATGAACCCTACTAATTTGAGGTTACAGGCCCAAGGTTTCTTACTGAGGTTCCTACATCATCCGATCATCCTGACCAGAACTGACTTTGAAATCCCCCCGCAGCAAATCTAAGCTTGCCTGGGTGATGTTCTAGACTACTCTCTTTTGTGCCTGTTCGCCTGAATGAATAGCATAGAGCTCTGATATCTCAAAGGACACCGCAGTGAGAACGGCCACTCTAATATAGGGGCCTTAATGATTAGAATAGGGTTTGGGGGGATACTATGCCATAACTGTAACAAGGATCCCCCAGAATAGTGTTGGTAAGCATTTGGGCCCCTATATGATAGTACCCTTATAGATCCCTTATAGGATCCTGAAAGACACCTTTAAAGTTAAGGAACCCTATTCTCATTCTTAAGGCCCCCTAAACCCTAAACACCTAAACCCTAAACCCCCTAAACCCTAAACCCTAAACCCTCTAAACCCTAAACACCTAAACCCTAAACCCCCTAAACCCTAAACCCCCTAAACCCCCTAAACCCCCTAAACCCCCTAAACCCCCTAAACCCCCTAAACCCCCTAAACCCCCTAAACCCTAAACCCCCTAAACCCCCTAAACCCTAAACCCTCTAAACCCTAAACCCTAAACCCCCCAAAACCCTAAACCAAGGCCCACATATCTGACGTCGGAAGTTCCGGGAAGCCTCGGCCCCCAACTGAAGGGCCTCGAGCTGGAGCTCAGCCCATGTCCCTGAAAGCCAACCTTAGGGTTTAGGGTTAGGGCTTAGGGCTTAGGGTTTAGGGTTTAGGGCTTTTTTGATTTAGGATTTAGGGCTTAATTAGGGTTTAGGGGTTTCTTTGTTTCAGGATTGAGGATTTAGGGTTTAGGATGTAGGATTTAGGGTTTAGGGCTTGGCCAGCCCGTACCAAAGCTTACACCCAAACAAACCCAAAACCCCGCACATAAAACCCTCTTAGACCTCTTGAGGAAGGGGCTTATCCAGCAGCATGAAATAGCCGTAGACGGCCAGAAGCACCATGCCACCAGTAAAACCTCGGGGTGTGAGGGTTTCTGGCTTTTTGGTTGGGTGGAAGGGTTTCGCAAGAGCTTTGAAGGTCTTTGGTGGGTTTGGGCTTTCGGGTTGTGGTTCTGGGTTAAAGGTTATCGTACAAGCTTGGTGTGTCGGGTTCTGCAGTACAGTGTGTAAGTGTAGAGGTGCTGCATCACGAAAAGCCCACCTAGTACTCCAACCTTGATGCCTTGTCTTAAAGCGCCTGACTACTCCGTACGACATCAACGATCTTCTCATCTCGAACCCTCCCAGCTTGGAAGTATGGACACTACGCACAAGAAAGAAACTGAACCGGAACCGTGCCGCACAAAAAGCCCAAATTGCTGCATATTGTATATGACAGCGGCAAGGGCTGGTGGATGTAAGAATATGGGAGTTTCCGAAAATTGGGGTACCTTATTTTGGGGTCCTTGTAACAAGGATCCTACCTATTTAGGGAACCAAAATAGGGTACTCCTACTTTTCGGAAACCCCCATAAAGGCCTTAATAGGTTGAGGGTTGAGGTCTCGTAGGGCTTTCAGGCCTTTTGAGTAGTCAGCCGCAACAACTCTGAAGACTTCAATGCGGACCAGGACTGAGGGTGCAGAATAGCACCCTAAACCCTACACCCTAGACCCTAAACCCTTAACCCTATACCCTAAACCCTGAACCCTAAACCCTAAACTCTGAACGCCTGAAACCTACACCCCTCCCCAATTCTCACAAGCCAGGAGGCAAAAATAAACCTGCTGAGCCACGTGCTCCTTCACTTTAGGGTTGTGGCGGAAACTGGAGAGATATGTCAGCTCAGAATTTAAGGCTTCGGGCCCTCAATGTTCGCGGCAACATGTCATGCACGGACTTCCAAGGTTTGGGGGTTTAGGGTTTCGGCTTGAGAACGCTTTCCCCAAGCCCTAAAGTCTAAACCCCTTAAACCCTAATTAAGCCTAAACCCTTCAACCCGTAACCCCCGCGCCCTTAAACCCTAAACCCTGAACCCTCAAACCCTCAAGCCCGTACTCAAGCCCGAAACCCTAAACCCTTGAACCCTTTTGAGGTTCCAATCTCTCAAAAACTTCTGCGGTTTGGCCTTCAGGGTGCAAACCCTAGGGGTTTAGGGGTTAGGGAGGACGCTGGAAGGCCTTGGGGTCTAGTGTTATCCTTTTTAAGCTGGTGCAAAGCCCAGCGTCTTGCTTTGGGGTTTTAGGGGGTCGGGGGTTTCGGGATAGTCCAACTTACTACTTGCCTTCGTGAGAAGAGATTTCCTGGGCTTAGGGAGTTTAGGGTTTGGGTTCACTTTGGGTCGGATGGAGTACTGTAGGTTTGATGGCTTTCGCACGTAGGATGGGAGGGATCCAGTGCTGAAGGTTTACACATGTGGTTCTCAGTTCTTCTTGGCTTCGGGATTGAGGTTTCGGGCTGGAGGTAAGGTATCCCATACCCTGAACCTCAACCTTAACCCCTAAACCCCAATTAACCCCTAAGCCCTAAAGCCCTGAACCCCAAGCCTAAACACCAAACTCTAACCTTAGCTAAGCAGGGAGAAAGTCTGAGCTCACGGATCCTCCAGCACGTGGCAGAAGGCATTCCGTATCAGAAATAAGGAGGCCATCGTCATCAAACCTGTCTGAAGCTCTGGGTCCCTCACTAGGATGCCTAGAAACCTAGGAATAAAGAGGGCTCCCTTTTTAAATATTGGGTAACTTTATAAGGAACCTAGGACTACAAAAAGGCAATAAGGAAACTGCTGGGCATCCTAGCTAATAGAACATAGAACTGCTATGCAGGGGCTATGAGGGGATGTTCTTATACACTAATCATTTCGACCCCAACATTACGCCCAAGCCCTAGCACCCGAAAACAAGAAGCCTGAAAAGGGAATCAACCGGCTCGGGATATCCATCCGGCTTGGACTTTCAATTTTTTTGGGGATTAGGGTTTAGGAGTTTAGGGTTTAGGGTTTTTCAAGGGTTGAGGGTGCACCACGCGGCCTCGAGCAGAACAAGCTCTTCCGAAAGCACAATCGAACAGCGGTACCTAAACCTGAAACCACAAGGGGGTCCTTGAAAGCCCAACCCTGAAGCCCTAATAAATCGTAAACCCTCAGCCCTACACCCGCAGTAAACCCTAAACCCTCAAACCACCGAAAGACCGGAATTTTCGAGGACTGTTGCCGCCAAGGACCGACTGACTTCCAGTCCCACCAGTCGTTGAGGGTGTTTTGGACCTGATGAAACCTGCGCTTCGTTTCACTTATCGTAGGGTTTAGGGTCCCCATTAACCTAGGAATCAAGAGGGCTCCCCTTTTGAAATGACGGTAGTTTTGTATTTAACCTACGGACCTGACTGCACGTCGCTTAGTTTAGGATCTAAGCTTCAAGGAGTTGAGGCGTTTAAGGTTTAAGTTTTAACACTTGAGGGCTTAAGGGTTTAAGTGTTTACGACTAAGGTTTTAGGGCGTTTGGTTTAGAGACGTTTCGGGCTTGGCGTTCTGGGGTCGCGGGTGTTTAGAGTCCAGGGCTAACTGTGTAGCTGTTTGTCAACGACAAGGCTGCCTTATGCCTCAAACACTAAAAGCCCTAGCTACTTGACGTAGGAATCTGATTAAGAAACCTTGGGTCCTTACTAGGGCTCCCAATATGGATCCTAATATAGTTGGGTTGTAGGGCCAGGGTTTCTTAATCAGGTTCCTACATTCATAAACCCTAAACCCTAAACCCCGAACCCCTACACCCTATAGATCCCTTACAGAACCCGTATAGATCCCTGTAAAGGAACCCTACTTCTCAATCAGGTTCCTTCATTACAACTGCCCTAGCAAACCCTCACCTGGCTGGTTGTCGAAATTATGGTCCCCTTTTTTGGTACCTATTATATAGTACGGCACCTATTATTTAGGGCACCCTAAACCCTAAACCCTAATTTTGACAACCACCCAGCTCCGTGCCCGAGGGTCGTACACACCCTAAGGCTGCTCGGCTAGAAGCTCGGCTTCATGCCGGCCTTCTCTCGGGGTTCCGGAATCACGGTTTAAGGTTTAGGGTTTGGGGTTTAGGGGTTTAGGGTTAAGGGGCTTAGGCGTTTGGGGTGTAGGGTTTAGGGTTTAGAAGTTTGGGGTTTAGGGTTTATAAAAAGTGTGTATTGCAAGCATTTTTTTGTAATTATGGCGGCTGGAGCACCTTCTCCCCACACGCTTTCCGGAAGACCAACAAGTAAACACGAAACCCGAAACCTGGGGCCCTTGCCTGTTCAGAGTGGGTTTAGGGTTTAGGCTATGCGGTTTGTGGTTAAGGGTATATAAACCTGAGACATCAACCACCAAGAAAGGGATCTCTGAAAAGGATAACCCTGCCATTTGATATGCAAGCCGTACCACCGGCCTGTCTTCAACGGTCCGTCGCTCCCAGAAGAAGACTGTCCTGCTGAAATTGCAGCTGTGTATGTGGCTTTGGGGGCTTTTTCTCCTCGGGATATTCAAGGGCCTCGGACGTAATCCGTGCTGACACTGCATCAGCTGACACCACGGCAAGAACTCGCTGCATCCCCCATGCCTCTCGCTCAAAACCCACCTAGTTCGGAGTTCCGAAACTCAAGAAAACTGCTTGGCGGTTCATGATCGTATTTGATCCTCGAAGTAGATGCTCAATGCCTCAATGCCTGGAGCCTGGACCCTCGAAACTTAAATCCTGAACCCAAAACCTTCAACCCAAGGCCAACCCGGCACACCCAGACCCTCCACTCCCAGACCCAGGCGGTCTTCCGCAGATGCTGCACAAACCAGTTGATGGATGCACAGACAATCGGGATCGCCGCCAAGCGGGACAGGGCCTGGCTTGTGGTTTAGGGTGGTTTTGGAGCATAAGACCTATAGGGTGTAGGAAAGATAAAGGTTTAGGGCCTGCTTAGGGTCTTGGGTTTAGGGTGGCACTTGGGGCTTCGGGGTTCATGGCTGCTAGACTTGGTTTAGGGTTTAGGCTTTAGGGTTTAGGGTTTAGGGTTTAGGGTTTAGGGTTTAGGGTTTAGGGTTTAGGGTTTAGGGTTAGAGGAGGGCTACAACATTCTACAAGCGTGACTACACGACGTGTAACAGCACTTCCACCAGTACTCAGTACTGAGTTCCATGGTCTAAACGAAAGTGACCCCTGATCCCCAAACATCCCTAAACCTTAAACCCTGAAACCCAAACATCCCTAAGGCCTAAACCCTACCCCAAACATCCCTAAACCCTAAACCCACAACATCCCTAAACCCTAAACCCCAAACATCCCTAAATTATGTGACCCGGGGGCTGAGATTTGTGGCTTCAGGCTGGATGGCGCCAGGTTTCTCTCGCTGGCATCACACGGTTTAGAGTTTAGGGTTTAGGGTTTAGGGTTTAGGGGTTTAGGGTTTAGGGTTTAGGGGTTTAGGGTTTAGGGTTTAGGGCATACATCGTCCAGGATGTCCCCCATCCTGAGGATGATTGTAACAGAGGGGCCTTAACCCCTACAGTAGGGCTTTGGGGGTATACTGCAGCAGGGTTATAGTAAAGAACCCAAGGGAACAAAGTGTGGTTTAAGGGAAGGGCTTAGGGTTCGAGGCAGTAGCAAGTCATGATTGAACTGACGTTTCAACTTCGCCCGAAGCTCGTTACTAGGTTCCTGAGTTGCCCCTTTATAATAAGGGTACCCTTTCTCCTACTTTTCGGTTTTTTTTGAGGACCCCAAACTGAAAGGGGCAAACAGGTACTACTCAGGAACCTGGTAGAGCCTAAACCCCCATAGATCCCTGATAAAACCCCTTAAGAATCCCTTTAAGATCCCTTTAAGCAGCCCAAAAAGGCCCTAAAAGGAGCCCTTCCTTTGTTAACCACAAACCGTGCACCTGAACCGCGGCCCCAGAGCCTCAAACCCTACATCCCGAACCCAAGAACCCCAAAAGAACCGAAGCCTTCAACCGCACACCGACTTGGAGGTTCATGGGTAGTTATCAGCGGAGCTATAAGTCCCCTTATATCGGTTATACTTATAGTTACCTTACTTCTATCACCCCCCTGAACCTCCAAGTATAACTACATCCCAAACTCAACACCCTAACAGCCCTGAGCCCTCAACACATCACTCCATAAACGGACACCCGGAAGCCCAATCATGCCCTAAGCCCATGCACGGCCACGATCCCAATAACGTCAGCCTCTGTCCGGGAGTTGATGTCTGTCTTGAAAACAGTCACCTCCGCTTCAAGGGTCAGGGGGCCTCTGCTTACTGTTCAGGGCCTTACCCTCAGGGTCCACGTACCGAAATATGTTTTGGCCTTGAAGTAGTCCCTATTTCGGCATTTTGCGGCCAAAGTTTATACTATATGGACTGACTACTTGGAGGGTCGGGGGACTTAGTAAGTAGGTAGTAAGTAGACTTATAAGTACCCTAAAAGGGACCCTAATTGGGGTTATGGTAGTTATAAGTCCCTAAAATAACCAGTTACTAAGTCCCCCGACCCTCCAAGTATATGGGTGCAGGGACCCATTGGGTTGCTAAGACGATGTTCAACTGGGTCTCTGCCGGCCAACTGGAGCTATGCGACCTGACCGGAACAGATCCTTGCGAGGTTTGACATCGGCTGTAAGCAGCTAGAATGAAGCCTGCCATGCTCCTAAACCCTGCGAACCCTGAACCCTGTAAACCCCAGGCCCTACAAAATTTGAACCCTGAAACTACGTCAGTCGACGGGTTCAATTAAGACTGAAGGTCTGGGGTGTTGGGTTCAAGGTCCTCGGCTTGACACAGGAGTTCGTGAGCAATGAGTTTTGTTGAGGATATGACTTGAAGGGTTTAGGGTGGGGGGGTAGGGTGGGTATTGTGTAAGTAAAGTGGCTCCAAGACGGCCATGAAAGTTTAAAAAAACACCGCAAGAATACTCTAAGGAAAAGTCACCCTCCCCAGCCCTTAGATTAGTCGCGACGAGAGCATCCACAACAACAGTACGGGTGGTCATCACTGTCGGCACAACTTCTCGCCGCCAAGAAAATTCGAATCTTGACTGACTGCAGGAAGTGTTCAACCTCTTTGATTTCAATTTCAACAACAAGCACTAAACATATCGGGGAAATATTTCTCCGATAAGCCTCAACAGACGCCGGGCTCGCGCTTGACAGACTGTTGGTGACATAAATCCTGCATGACTTAAGGACCCTAAACCATGGGAATTATGGTACATTTCTTGGTATGGGTACTGCAGGATTTATACCATCAACCGGAGGAAGGCCGCCATCTCTCACTCTGAATCTGCGCCACTCGGTGCTTGAAACCCGAAGCACTGAACCACAAAACACGTAGACCCGATACCCCAAGGCCTCCGCATCGAAGAGGACTACTACTGCTACGAGTACTACTACTGTTGATGATATAAATCCTGCATTACCCATGATAAGGAATATACCATAATTCCCATAGTTTAGGGTCCTTAAGGTCATGCAGGATTTGTATCATCAACCGTACCACCACCACCACCACCAGCACCAGCACCAGCAGCATCTGTCTTGCATCTTGCGCTGTGGAGCTTCATCGGTGCCGTTGCTTCGAAAGATGTTTGCAACATTCCCAGAGTGCCCAACGTATCCTGCAGTAGATACACATTCCGTGATGTGCAATACGGGGCTTAGGGTCCAGAGCTCAGTGCCTTAGGCTTTGTGGGTATTCTTTTAAGATCTCAGGAGTACTCCGAATGTAATATCGTTAGTATCGGATTTCTTACTACCGTGATCCAACACATATATTCTCTGACAACATTGTATTCGGCTCTCTAGGAAGCCCGAAAAAAGCGAAGACCGAACAACAAGGTGAAACAAACAAACTGAACCGGGCTAAGGAGTTGGGTTTAGGGCTTGGCGTTTACCCAAAGGCCCCAAAGTAGTTCCTTTTTGGGATTCATACTTAGAATTCCATAAGGTAATCCCAAAAAGGAACTACTATGGGGCCGATGGGTAGGGTTTAGGGTGTAGGTTTAGGGCTTGGGGTGTTCGTGTTTAGGGGTTTAGGTTTGGTTTCAGTCTGGTTTGACCAGGACTGGTCAGGCAACACAAAGGCCCTCTTCTAGTAATAGCAACCCCCGAAGATCCCTTATAGAACCCTCTAAGGAGCCCGTTAAGCGCAGGAACCTAGCCCTATCAGGCAAGGAGCGTTCAGGGTGTAGGTACGAGTGTAGTTCAAGCCCACGGAGACCGGCACACTGATGGCCTGGGCATCTCAAGGTTGAATTGAATTATTTGGGACTCTAAACAGTCCATGTACCCAGACAGGGTTCCTTTAAGGGTGCCATCAGGGCTCCTTCAAGAGATCTATAAGGCCGCGAACCCTCAACCGCAGACGAGCTGGGTGACTGTTGAGGAGCGTAAGTCAACTTACCAGAGTGGGAAGCCTAAACCGTGAACCCTAAGCCCAAAACCCAAAACGCAGCAAAAAAAACGATTTTCAATGATATGGCAGTAAGAGTGGAAGTGGAGCCCTGAGCCCTAAACCGAGGATGGTGTGGTCGGTAGGCCGCATTCGCCGAGCCATTCCCACCATCTTCATTGTCCACATGTACCTGATCGGAGAGATGAAGGCTTCTTCTGCCCTCGACGTGCCTATGTATTAAGGCCCCTGCATGAAAGGTTGCCACCCCGCCGCTGTCAGGCCAGCTTCCTCATCCTTCAGACACCCCGGCAGGGGCAGGTCCTGTCTTCTCGGGCTCTCCAAGAACATTGCAGGTGGCCTCGAACTGTTCAGGAGCGATGTTGATCTTCTTCATGTTTTGCACTTTCTCTGGGCATGCTTTGAGCTTCAGGGCACCCGCACTCGTGATCTCGCTGTGGCCTTCCAGCTGGGCCCGCACCTCCGCGTTCGCAACAGCGGATGCTGGACAACAAGGCAACGATTTGGCTGGCCACTCTCGCCAGGCCATTCCCAGTGTCTGGAGTTTCCATGCTAGCGATCAGGGTTTAGGGTATAGGGTTCTTCTTGGCTTCATGGAGATGTGCATGGTAGCCATCGATGTTGGCGTCGGCTACAAAGGCTTCCCTCCAAGTAGTACCCAAAGACGTAATCATGCTAACCAGAAACCACGAAGACCGTCACTGCTACATCTACGTACCCCTAGACTCCTGGTAGTCAAGAACAAAGATTGGAAGATCATAGTTTAAAGGCTCTGAATTCTCTGCAATCTTCCGGCGGTGCCAAGAACCACGAGTCGGGGCCCGGACAATTAGACTTCCTTTTGGGGATAAAGGGTATATTACAAGTCTGTATGGCTATAGAGGGACTCTATCGCAACTTGTTCTATTCGTACAATGGGCCTAATAAGGGCCTAATAGTCCTGACAGCTGGGCTTCAGGCTGTTTTACAAATTAGTTGGGGGTCTAATCTGAGACAAAAGTGGCCATGAGGAACTTGTAAGACTCATGTCGCAAGTGCTGTTCCTTCTGGCTACAGGCATATAGTGCTTCGCGATTGTTTCACCAGTAGGCTACTTTAGGCGTTTTGCTTGACCATGAGGCCAGCAACGCTGGCAAGAGCAGCGATGATGAAAGTTCAGCAAATTCTAAGCCCTGGGCCTAACCCCCCCCCCAAAGTAGGTAAAATAATGTCCCAACACCTATAAAAGGCCATTATTCTACATACTTTTGGGGTCCAGGTAATAATGTAAGAGTCAGCTATCACTGTGCAAAGCCGGGCGTCTCAGACGAAGCCTCGGGTCTGTGAAGTAAATTGAATTAGAAGTCTCATCGCGGGGAGAGCCTTACAATCAGGGATCGCATGCCTCACTGTGTACCTTAGCATCGTTCATAGGCTTAGAGGAAGGAATGAAACAGTTTTGGCCCTGAAGGTTTGCACAGAACGCGCGCGCGCGTCGTTGCTTCCATTCAGCGTTTACGGCTTTTGGTTTCTGCTGCGCTGTCTGTGTCTGTGCGAGTCTTCGGTTTAGTGCATCTCTCACGAACCCTCTAAATAATGAGGGCCGCCTCTTTGCGGGACCCTGTCTCAGAGCAACACAGCCAGTTGGCCGACAAGACTCTGACTCGAATCCAAACTTTTGTGGCTAAGGCAGCAGCGAAGCCAACCACCAGGGCGATGTTCGTGGGGGATGCGAACAAATCCTGCGACGTCTTACCTTTGGCTAGTAGGGAATGGAGGATTGGGATACAATCATAACTACTATTACTACCATTCTTCCATTCCCTATTAACCAAAGGTAAGACGTCCCGAGGCTCGGCACTCTGCAGACTTTGGAGGCTGAGCCGGGATTTCGGTGTGAGGCTAGATGTAGTGGTCCATGTAGAAGGTGTAGTGTAGGGGAATTTTTTTCAGAATGAATTTGGTAGTTGCACATGGGGTATGCCTGTGCCGGAGGGCCCATCTCCGACTGCTGACTCCAGTGGCGCCAGATTTGCTATGCCTGTGCCGGATGCCACTGACGATGGCGGGAGGGTCGCCGGGACGGAAGGCCCATCTCGGCTTCTACTAACAACGGTGGCAGGGTTGCCATGACAGAGTGGCAGGGCTACTGTCAACTCAACCATGATCGCCCTGATGAGTCCTGATGAGCCCTGATTCCGTCACTCTGAAACACAGGTTTGGGATATGTGGGCCCTAACTGTGTTAAGCGCCACCACAATTGCTTTGCGTATACGGAATACCATTCAATGTTACATGTGCCCCAAACGCTGGGACGCCGTAAACATACTCTAAATCCTCCAAACCTCTATATACAACCAATCGAAAAACGACCCCAGAAGGTAGTTACCCTAACCTAGAGAACTTTCCAACATCCAATACAAGGCCTCAGGTTTCAGGTTTGGGTGTGTGGGGCTTTCAGGATTTCACCTCAGAGTCCCACACCTTGGGCTTCTCCGAAAGGAGCCCAACTCAAGGTGCCCTTGAGATTTTGTTTACCTTGTCACTTGGTGCTTAGATCAGGGTTGAGGTTTAGGGTTTCGGGCTTAAGGTATAGGGTTTGGGGGTCTAGGAGTTTGGGGCCTAGGGTTATCATGGTAACCGAACCATAAAGGTAACATTGAGACGCATGCCTGTCCTTGATGTGCAGTGAATGCGCCCGCGCGAACTTGGTGACACGGGGCATAGCCCCGCCAAGACCTCCAATTCTTCGTCACGTAGGGTTAGGGTTTAGGAGTTCAGGGTTTAGGGTGCTGAGGGTCCGCTCCATGTTGCTCTGCTGCAAGGAAGAATTCGCGGAGCTAACTAGTAAGTAGCCTTGCAATCAAAGTAACGATCTGTATAGTTATTGTTGGCCTTAATGCGGGCTGCTGATTATTAAAGGTCCCCTCAATAGAGCTAAATTCGGCCCGGCACACAATAATAAAAGGTCCCCTCAATAGAGCTAAACTCGGCCTGCACGTAACAATAAAGACCCCTCAATAGTACTAAAACCTGTCCCGGTGTAAAAGTTTAAGGTTTAGGTAAATAAGCACTCCTACTACCGGCCGAAGAGCAAACCAGAATCCATGAGGCTTGTATATAGAAACCTAAAGCCTACAACCTTCAGGGATTCAGGCCAAAGCTCCAAACTCTGGTTTTGCACGGCTGCCAGATCTATAGGTTTCTTATATAAACCCCTTATTCAAAAAAAAGCCACCCCAGCAACTTTTCTAAGGGGTAGTCTTCGATAGCTGCCGACCCCACAATAATTCGGATGAAAAGGCCCCCTCAATAGTGCAGCGGTCTGCCGGGGGTCTCCAGAACAGCAAACCAGAATCCCTTGCTGTATTGAAAACCATAAGGCTTCTATATATATATATATATATATATATATATATAGAAACCTCAAGTCTCTGAGTACTCGTTCAAGTCACGAGAGGAGGAGGTCGAGAGTTCGCGAAAGAGGGCGCGAGCGGACAGAGCCCAGGGTGCTCAGGAAAGGCCTGTAAAACAAGAGTGTAATTACTACTACTACTACTGCTACTACTGCTACTACTGCTACTGTGCTACTGCGCTACTGTGCTACTGTGCTACTGTGCTACTGTGCTGCTGTGCTACTGTGCTACTACTGTACTACTGTACTCTGTACTACTGTACTACTGTACTACTGTACTACTGTACTATACGATTAATTACTTAAGGTACGTAGAACCGTGCATATGGCTACCCATGAGCGCACACATTCAAGTCCTGTGTCCTGAACTCAAAAAACACCCCAAACCTCCAGCCACCGCGGCAAAACCCTAAACCCTAGACCCCCGTAAACCCTGAACGCTAACCCCCCCCAAACCCTAAACCCTAAACCCTAACCCCCCCCAAACCCTACACCCTAAACACCCCCAAACCCTAAACCCCCCTAAACCCTAAACCCTACCCCCCCCCCCCAAACCCTAAACCCTAAGAGCTGGCCGTGCTACGGGTACTGCAGATCCCCGATCACTGGTCGCCGTCCCTAAACCCCAAACCGTTCAGGACGATAACAAGGACCCTTTTCTCCGGGCCCTTTAAAGGAAATCTGGGGATCCCCACCAGGATCCCTTGAAGGGGATCCCTTAAAGGGACGACCCTACTATAGAACCCAACAGTACCCTTGAGGGTACCCTGAAAGGGAAGGTTCTCGGTGATCATGGGTCTACATTGCTTCTTGTGGTAAACCTTTCGTCGGCTTCGGGTTCAGGGTTCGATGCCGAGGATTTACGGATCAGGTTTTCCGTCGAGCTCAGGGTCTAGAGCTCATAACCCTAGAACCCAAATCCTAAGCCCTAAACCCTAAACCCTCCCGACCCGAAACCAATAAATCCGTTCACCCTTAACCCCGGAAGTTCTACTTAAAGGATCATGGGACTTAGTAACTAGGGTTAAAATTAGGGCAACTATACTTATAACTACTTAAAACCCAATTAAGGTACTTCTAACCTTGCTTGCTAAGTCCCCTGATCTTCTCAAAAGTATACCCGAAAGCCCTAGACTCGCAAAGCCTCATATAGGGGCCTTAATAATTTGAATAGGGTTTGGGGGTATGTTATACTATACTTGTATTCAGGACCCCAAAATAGTATCGGTAATCAGCTAAGGCCCCGATAGTAAAACCCTCAAACTCTGCCCTACAGTGCCCTCTCCTGGACTTTGAAGTAACCAGGGAGAAAAAAGTATAGACTTTTATTTCATAATGGTTCCTTTATGGAACAGGTACCCAAAAAAGAATTCAAGCATGGTACTCGAAACCCCTAAACCCTAAACCCTAAACCCTAAACCCCTAAACC